CCAATTCATGCAGGGGATCAGGCTTGACCTATGCTTTCACCATCACTTTCAAGTGATTGTATGCCCAGATCAACCAGGCCTTCAACCGCTACAAGAAGAAGTAGACGAGGAAGGAATTAAGAAACTAATTGTATAACCCATCAATACACAGCTACGTCGCAGGGAACACTATGGTACTCCGGACACAATTCTGAAAGGTCTCATTCTTCAGAATCCAGGCTCATCAACGGTTGATCCGGTTCTGAAAACAGCATGTATTGATTGGAACTTATAGCGTGTATCGATTGCCAGCTTTCCGGTTGACAGCGATGGCTGGAAAACCATGCCAAGCACTGCTCCACAGTAACCCGATTTCACATGATTTCATCGCTTATTGCTCTAAGCCACTGTCGCCAAGGGTGGTCTTGCTGCCGCAACTGCCGCCAAGCTGACCTGGGAAGGCTCATGGGTCGGTCCGGAGCCTCTCACTGTTGTCGATGGTTCAATAGTGTTCCTAGGTGTTCCTGATCGCAACGTCAAGAGGAGCAAACTGCGGCACCACTCTCAATAGTTATATCAACATATTTTGTTGTCACGATGACAACCTGATGGTGCTGGCGGTGAACATGACAATGACGATCGTGATGCAATGTTTCCGCGCTGATTGAGGATGATGATACCGCAACGACTTGCAGTATGTCGCAACTCCTCTCAAACGGTTCATGAAACGGTCATGCCCAAACAGCCTGCCGTTGATACAACACATGGTCCTGATCATATCTGCTTATTCAGCCGGGCATGTACATGTGATTCCTTTGCGGCTTTGCATCTATGACTTGTGTGTGTGTGACTCCGGGAGCAACACCAGTGCAAGTGCGCTGGAAACGACGCCGGTAACACGCCAAGATCAGGCCATTTAATTGGTGAAGCATTTCATATCAGGGAAGAACTGATGCGTGACTTCTGCCACTCTAACTAACTACCAAGGTATTCCTTCGCTGTTCAACAAACAAGTGTGCAGAAACAAACCAACTAAAATGACACCCAACATATTCAATCCTAAAATAAATATGTTATGTTCACTCGATCCTGAGGTCCTGTTTGAACTCCCAGTCACTTCGCCGGCCAGAAGCTGGCCTGATCAGTCTCCGAGGTCCATAGCGCTTTGCCCATCTTCTGACCCTTCACCACCCAGTAGAGCGCCTAAAGGAGACATCCAAAACCAATGGAGGCCGGGAAAAACACATGAATGAAGGCCAAGGTCTTCAGACTGTTGTGGAGATGTGTGACTCAAAAAGGAATGATCCTACTTGGTCTTGTGGACTTAAACCAAACACCCTGAAGCCCAAGCATCTTTTTTTAGGAAACTCTTATTTGACAAACCTGCAAGACACAGGTCGGCTACTCGGAAGGTCAGGGATCACAAGGCAAGAACTGCTTGGTCATCACTCTTTCTTCAAATCAAAGAAAGCTCATAAGCCGAAAGCCGGCAGGAAGAATTGCCGTAACAAGTACCTCGCAAGTGCCCATGGCCTGAAAATCCTGAGGTGAAATACAAATACAAGCATGCATGGCCGTTTACAAGTGTGTTTCTCATTTGTCAGCTAGCAGCTACCCAGGTCCAACTGTCACCTCAATCCTCACATGCAAAACGACCATCACATGAAATCCAAATGCGGGGGGCTATTGATCAAAAGTCTACATTAATTATATAGTGATACGTACAATAAATGTGTGTTATTGGCTTGGAATTGCAGCACAAGGACATGACAAACGTGTCTGCAGTGCCTGATGACACTGTCAGTTAAAGAGAAAAAACCACCCCTGGTCCCCTAAGACCATATGCTATCCGAGAAACTGTTGAACACTAACACAACATTCATAATTTGAACCCCAAAACAGGATGCAGTGACATCCGATCGTCTGTAGTAATCCCAACACCAAGTGAAAACAACACCATAAAAAGAAGACTGAAATCGGTGCTTCTGGGGGACCACTTCGGAGTTGCATTCCAATTCGGACACTGAATTCTCTCGTGGAGTCAAATGAAACGCGGCCTCAACTCATCTCCCTTCATCCAAGCCCTGGGCAAAGCCGCTTCCAGCGTCGCATGTCTCATCGCCTAACGAAGGAACCAAAACAGGCACTGGGCTGGATCAATCAACCGCCTTTACTTGTACCTAGGAGTCATCAAAGAATCTCAGCAACGAGCCATGAGTCATGGCCCACGACTAAGGTGCCGCGCCGTCAATCTGACACCGCCCCGGCTGGAAGGAGAAGGAAAAGGAGGCCACGCCTTGAGAGCACTTCTAGGAGGTCCACACACTTTGAGGATTCATGCTCCACATACCCTGCTATCTTTCTCAGATCACCCCTACACATTGAAATCATGTGACATCTGCGTTGCTCTATATAAACACCGTGACCGAGTGCTATTAAAGCCACTTGTGGATCGCTTGGTTGTCGGTCGCCGAATGGCTCGCTTGGGTGTTTCTGCGAACTTCCACGCCCGTCCACCCCGGACCTTGCCTGATTCCTCGCTGAAATCGTTGACCTGAAATCAGGACGATTTGGGCACGGTTTCAGCGGTGATTTGCGGGTCCCGGCTGAACACAAAGACCCAAGCCACGAGAAAAACGCAGAGCTGAAAGCGGTCGTGCAGGTTGCACAGGAGTTACGACCAGCACTCATCACTATTGTGAACATGTGGGCAATCACAGTAGCGGCCAGCATTTACCTCCAACAGTCCTAGCTACAAATGCTCCCACCAAAAGTTCCACTCAGCTTGTGCAAGGGATCCAGTCTTGGACCAAACGGAGCATTTTGTGGAATTCTATCAGATTGCTAAGAACACGCTCCCCCTGCTATGTCTGCATTATGTATGTATATTTTATATACACAGGTGGCTTGGCACTGTTGGCACCGCTCATAGAGTTTCTTGGGAAAGTCCCAAGGAAAGCCTTTACTGATCACTTGTCTTTTTGTCCCTGTCGACAAACACGACGGTTGAACAGTCAAGCGACGATGATGGACAAGGGCATCACTGTGGGAGGGCGGAGATCCTGAATCCTGCAGAAAGTTGTGGGAAGTGAGCGCTTTCTACCTAGGCCTTGGTGGAAGGGAGAATCTTGGAGCCCCCTCAAACGAAGGAATATGTTTTGTATCTAAGCTAATTGGAAGTCCCGAAACCTAGAAATACTGTGACCCACTCCGTAGTTGCAAGCGTCCACCAAAAAGGCACATGCACAAGGAACGCTAGGAATGCTAGGATTGCTAGGACCACAGGTGAAAAACCATACGCTGGAGGACAAGTTGAGATGAACTAAAGTAACCAATAAAACAAATCTTTACAGTCATTATCCCCTCTTTTGGTGTTTGAGAGAGTCTGTCCGATGTGACCGAGACTCGCCCATCACCAGGAAAGGGACATTTTTTTTGTGGCATTGGCATGCATTGGCTGGGAGAAACTCAACGTACCTACAGCTAGGCCTGTCAATTAATCAATCTTAAGTTTCTTCACCCGGCTTTGTAACCCGCGGTCTTGCAGCATGATTCATGTTGGGAGGAACTGATTCTATTTGGTTGTTGCTTTCTGCGCGAGACCTTGTCTCGCTGGCATAAGGAAATCTAGTCCCAGGTCTGTGTCTTGCCATTCAAAAGATTTTGCTTGCTGTTGTGGTGCTGACTTGTGGTTCATCTTTATGGACAAATCAGGTGAACTCAATGCTTTTCAGAAGAACTAAGGCTAAGGCCTTCTGCACCATTTTCCTATATAATTTTCTAGAACCTAGAAAACAATGCTGGATTGAACAATCATTGCCGCAATTGCCGGCTTTACATATAATACACCATGCCGTCAAACCAACACAAATCCAAAGTGCTCATGTTCATGCACGTTCCCTGGAAACCATCAGAACTACAGCAAACCTACACAGTGTTGAGCACCCAAAATGACAGCTCCTCAGGCTAGCAATGGGTTCAGAACCAAGCACACCTTCAGATGCAAGCGGACTGGCGGACTGCACTGAAATGTGCAGCGACATGCACAAGACATAAAACTTGAAAGGCAAAGTAACTACAGTAAGCGAAACATGTGACACATGGCAAGTGTGTAGCGGATGTCCCAGTTGTGTGTAGGTATGTTACAAAGAAATACAAAAAATGCATGCCCCAAGTAAAGGAATGGCAGTATTGGTAAAACTCGCTTGCCACACGGTATGTAAGGAGGTACCAGTATTTATAGAGTCAGAGCAAAGCTAATGACCGCAGCATGACATTGATCCATTGCCACAAGAACAAACCTAGAATTCAGTCTAGGACAGGGATGAAATATCTTGACCAGCTCGCCCACAACGCTCTACAATCATGTGGAGCAGGACCTATTCTTCTTATATTATCTTGAGGTGATGTGGGCTGCCTCCAAGAGAATCATGGATCCAAGGAATTCGATGTCTTGATCTGCCCCAATCATCTCGTTGACCCGGTCGCACTGCGGTGCCATACTTTAAGACCAGTGCCTGGGCCATGAGCAAAGGCCACAAAGTGCGTTGCACCCCTGGGCACCTGCACCTGAGCAATGGAGTCTATTGCCACCAAAAGTCGGGGCATCTTTGGCACCCAAAGACTAGGTAGCAGCGTCATTAATGACCCCGCTGTTGTTTAGCACTTCGCGACATAGTTCTCCGAGACATTTCCACCGGTTTGTCCCCATTGGTAAGGGAGCACATAGTCTCGAATCCTGGCACTGTCCATAGCGTAGAGGGGTTTCAGCTGTATGGGTGTGCAATTTGAACCAAACGTTAACATCCCACCCCACCCGCCCCACTCTCAGCACATGAAACTACAAAGTGTCACAAATACCGCACGAAATCGCGCGCAAACCCTCAAAAACAGCGGGGTCGTTAATGACGCCGCCAGCAAAGACTAGATCCTCAGTGCAACTGAAAGCAGCGCCCTGAAGGCCATTCACCTGGTGGTAAAACTTGTTGAAATCATGGCCACCTCGGATTTGAGCCCAGAGTTTAGTGGTAAAGGATTATAAAGGATGGCAAAGGTTCCTGTGAAGCCACCAGTTTTGAGGCGCAGCGGCGCAGCCCAGAAACATACTTTTGGATGTGTATATTGGATAGACAGATCGACGACCAGGAACAGTGTACAGGTGACATGAACTCCAGAATCACCCCATCCCCCCACGGCCCTGTTTTTTTCGTGGACGGCAATTCCAAGGACAGCTGCCGTCGGCGACTGCGTTCGTGGCAGAGGAAGCAAAAGGATTTGGGATTCAAATCCAGTGGAGTGAAATCAGCCTTCTTCCCCGAGTCTAAACGACTCCAGCTGAAAAGTTGCTCAGAAGCAACCATTTTTGGGACCTGGTCGCCACGATCCCGTCGCTTTTGTCACGACGTCGTGGGAGATCCGATCCACGGTTCTAGGGCCAGTCACCACAGGGCCAGGAATGCCAAATGGAGGGATGCACCAAGCAATAGAGCCTTAGGAGCAAGGACGCTACGAACGGGGCTCCTGGCCTTACTACTAGTAACAAGCAGCTACTAGGAACAAGTGCATCGCTTCTAGTAACAAGTGCAACAAGGACGCTGGCCTTACTACTAGTAACAAGCTCCTGGCATCGCTACGAACGGAGCAAGGACGCTACGAACGGGAACTCCGTGCGCTCCGTTCGTCCGAACTCGTGGTTTGTCGGTTCGGAGTCCGTTCACCTCGGTTCTTCTTGGGGTGTTTCCTCGGTTCTTGGAAGGGACTCGCGTGCTGGGCGAAATCCAAAGCCTACTAGTGAAGCCCGACTGGCACTTCAGCGTGGACAGTTCCTACTTGCATGGGATTGAGCTCAGAACGCAATCATTCCACTTCTGCAAAGCCCTACAATGATGGCCTCCAGGAAAAAACGGTTTTTGCAACCAGCAAGTCAATCAATGGTTTTATTCTGCCATATGTGCTCGCTCAGTGCACCAAGAAAAGAACAAAGGTTACGAACACCTCTACCGGTTCACAGTTTACCCTTGAACCGGCTGCATAGGACTGTTTAAGGACGCTCGCATCCACATCTTCTTTTATAAACTTTACTGTATTCCCAAGAAACGTTGCATATACATCTAAAATATGAGTATAAAAAAAGAAAGAAAGAAAACAAGCAAGCAAGTAAGCAAGCTAGTAAGGGCGAAAGGAAAGGAAAGGAAAGGAAAAAACAACTTGTTGTGCTTGCTCACAAGCGCTACTGTGGGCTAGCTGAACAATACCATCACGCACCCTAGTAGGCCCTGGCCCCCTCGAAAGCAAAGCACGGTAAAACTCGTCCAGGTTCCCGCGTGATAGAGCGTGTCATCCTGAGTTTTGATGCTTGATATGTGCTCAATTGCAACATAAACCGTGTGGGCCATGGACCAAGCGTGGTGGACTTGGTTCCGAAGAGAATGCACAACTACAGCGGGTTCCTTCTTGTGAAATGTGAACTGAGTGCTAGCAAGGACGTCGGCAACTGTTGATGGACACATCGCACATCTTGCTCTCCTATAGATTGGAACATTTCAACGTCTAACCAGTTCCATATCAAATTTGATATTCTTTGCTCTCTCTCCCTCTCTCTCTCTTTCTCTCTTTCTCTCTCTAAACACATATCAAAGTATAGTCAGTTTATCCACTGGAGAATGAGTGTCACAGCAAACCAGTTCCTTGCATAAATTATCAACTTCCAGGTTCCAGACTAGTTCAATCACTATGTACAGTAGTTGTTTACAAACCATCAAAACTCCAAGAATTGTAGAAGTCGTAGACACATCCCATGCACCAGCATGCGCCAACTGTAGTGAAACCACTGTCACTATCACTATGCAGCCTTGACAAACATCAGGGCCAAAAAATAATTATCACATGCACCAACCATGGGTTTTCATCCAATCAGAGTGGGGGATCAAACCGGCAGCGCTTGCGGATCAGCCACTCAGAGTCCTTGAGATTCACCAAACAAAGGTAGAAAATAGTCCTGGGCAATCGACCCGGCGCCGAAGACCCGACCGAATTGGCAGGTGATTTGACCTCAATGCTTGGTCGGTCGACATTGAAAGAGTTCTTTGGCATATATAGTCACCCAAGTCACTAGTGTCACTTAGCATTGGTCCGCTTCTGCGCGCAAAAAGGATGGATGATGGACCCCAAGGACTGCAAAAACCGTTGCAGTTTGGAGTGTTGTAAGATGTTGTAAGTGAATCAAGGTGGCCAACCTCATCCAACCTCTAAATCCACAACGCGAGAAGTCATGTGCTCCGAATCACTATACTCTAGAAACCCACATGTTAAAAGCAGTTCTAAACAAATTCCGAGCCTCTTTCGTTTAGTCCTACTCCAAGCATCTGACAATATATTACGAGACAATTCCTACTCCACACCAACTTGCGAATAGTGCGAATAGTTCGACAATCACCTATGTGGGGTGCCTGAGGGTAAACAAGTATCCACACTTGACGTGAAAAGAAATACTCTAAATCCGTAGTGTATATAAATTACTTTACTTCGAGTGATCCCCACCATGAAATGTCAATTATTCGTTTTCATGCATGGTGAGGAGCACGTTGCCATGGTCGTGGGCTTTGTGGTTTTGGATTTTGCTTATGGGTCCTAGGGCTTGGGACTGTTATTTTAATGTCAGGGAGTTCGCGTCGGGGTGTCCCCAGGGTCTCCAGTTGGCATCCAAAAGTGCTACCCTGTCGCCAGGGTCTCCAGTTGGTTGTGTGTTTGTGGCTGTGTTTCTGATTGTGTTTGTGATTGTGTGTTTGTGGTTGTGTGTGTGTGTGTTTGTGGTTGTGCTTGTGGTCGTGTCTGTGATTGTGTGTTTGTGAAGGTGTTTGTGGTTGTGCTTGTGATTGTGTGTTTGTGGTTGTTTGTTTGTGAATGTGCTTGTGGTTTGTTTGTTTGTTTGTTTGCTTGTTTGTGGTTGTGGTTGTGTATTGTGTGTTGAGGTCCGGCGGGGAACAGTGCCAGCCGGAGTTCGCGGTTGATGTCCGGCGGAGAACACTGCCAGCCGACGCTAGTGGTTGAGGTCCAGCGGGGAACACTGCCAGCCAAAGCTCGCAGTTGAGGTCCGGCGCGGAACACTGCCATCCGGAGCTGGCGGTTGAGGTCCGGCGCGGAACACTGCCATCCGGAGCTGCCGGTTGAGGTCTGGCGGGGAACACTGCCATCCGGAGCTGGCAGGCGGCCAAGGGGGGAGGCGGAGGAAGGCAGCTGACATAAAATCTAACAACCCTCACCTGACAGGTGGGGAACTATCTACTACATGGAGTGAACATCCGCACAAATGTTCCAACTACCAGTACATGGAGACAAATCCTGCTCATCCTGCTCCAAAATATTCGTCCAGCTGCCATTCGGGACCTTTGCCGAAGCTTTGCAATGGTCGCGAGGCCAAAAGCCATGGCTGATCACCCAGCAACATCTGGCCAGCCGGCCTCAGCTCTCCTGGCGCGTTGGTATAGCCAAGCTAGAGGAAAAGATTATCAAGAGAAATTGATCATTGTTATATTTATCCAATAAAGAAGCAACATGAAGCTCCACCAAGCTTTGACTTGGAGCGACGCTCAAAGAGGAAATCAAAACTGTTGGGTTCCAACCGAGTGCCAATGCAAGCCTGAGAAAACTTATGTTGCTGACCGCTAGTGGAGCTTTGGCCCCCTAAACCTAGTAGCGTCCTTGTTCTTAGTAGTAAGGTCAGGAGCCCCTAGTAGCGTCCTTGCTCCTAGTAGCGATGCCAGGAGCCCCTAGTAGCTTCTTGTTCCTGGCCCCCAAAAACAGCGTTGATTTGAAGCCATTCAGCTTCTGGCCGCGCTCCTGCTTGCAAGGCTTTCTGCTCCAAATCTCCGCTGGCGCCGTGCCATGCCAACATCGTTCGAAGGCGCTTGGAAGGTCCAGAACCCATTTCTGCCGTTTCTTGGAAGCGGCCCAAGAGGCCTCACGGGGAACGAACCCGGGCTGGCCCGGTTCGCTCTGAGTCGGTCTGCACCTTTTGCGTTCTGATTTCGCAAATGATTGATGTTTCATTAGTAAGCTACGCTTGTAACTGATTCCAGCAACCAGGGGAAGGTCAGCAACCTTTGCGAGTGCATATCAGTTCGAGGTTTGCATCAATTTGATGAGCAAGACCAGTTGTGTGAGGCAAGGCTTGGCAATCTGAACAGCAATTGCTTGGATTTGCTTGGCAAGCATGATGTCAAACACCGACTGATACCAGCACCGAGATTCTGAAAGACTCACATCAACGGATTTTAAATTCTAAACAAAATAATACAAAAGATTGGTCTTCAAGAACTTTCATTTGGGCAAAGATATGAAGAGTATACTGTGAACATGACTTCGCCTCGACCTATTGGAGTTGGAAATGCTGAGACAGCCGCTTCCCACTCATGGAAGTAAGTGAGCTGCCTGGACAGCGGATCCTCCAAACATAGAACTCTGAGGACATCACCTCATACCTGGCGCCAAAAACAGGCCGGGAAGCAGCGATACTTTTCACACACATATATAATATCAACAATGCATCCATCTTCTACAAATCTCAACCAAACATTCAGCAGGGAAACCTGGCATGTTTCCATTCATTGACTTTTGTAGGGGTTGAATCCTACTATATTATTTACCTTGATCATTCTTCCGCTTCTCCAAGGTCTTGTCCCCGAAACGATCCAACTCGCAGTGATTGATGTCCCGATGATCCCGGGGGTGAAGACCTGCTTATATGGAAAGCCAAGACCCTTTTCGAGTGTCAAGTAGGTGTGTGAATTGAAGATTCCTCCAAAGTAGTTTCCTATCGCCCACACCGCAGAGATCCTTTGAAGGGAACTGGGAAATCTATGGGACCCAAAAGAGTACTCCCTGTGCTGGCAAAGTGTCTACAAGGTGGTTTCTTTCCAGTGCCTTGATTCAGTTGAGGGTGTTGGAGAATGTTGGAGAGATCCTTTCAGGAGAAGGTCTGGTCTTGTTGGGCAACAAGTTCGGCAACAAGCTTTCTGAATCTTGAGTACACGAAGTCTCAATGTTTATCTGCAGCAGAAGGTTTGAGGTCTTCAAGTCAATGAGCAACCAAACCTCGTGGCTTCCCAAATTTTCCGACCAAGACAACCACAAGCTTGGCTTCGGCCGAGTCTCTGATCTGCGAAGAGCGAGAAGTAAAAGGCCTCTGAGGTCCAGAAGCGTTTTCAAGCCAAAACGTTCCATTCTACTAGCTACAACGAGCGGGCAAAACAATGATGCTGGGAAAGGGTATTGATGATTTGTTGTGCGACACGTGACGGCGTGGTGAGCTGTGAGCTTTGATGTGGTGACGCGTGATGATATCTACTTTTTGATGTGGCGATGTGTTGAGTGGCGAAGTGCCATGTCAGTGTCGTAAAATGTGATCTTCCATTCCATGTCCCAATGGAATTACGAGCCCTGACACACCACAGGGCAGCAACGCTGGGGCCCTGGGGTCACGATACTGTCCTCAAGCCATCCGCCCGGAGCGGCTTCGTATGCACTTCTGGCAGATCATTGTTCAAGCCTGGATGGTCTTCAGTCCCGCTCTGATCGCTCGGGAGCAGCGGCATGTGAACACACTTTTCAGGCCTCAGAGGACTTCGCCTGGGTCTTGTGCATCAAACGCTCAATCCTCAGAGGACTTGTCAATCTTAGAACAAAGGCCAAAACAAACGGGTGACGCACCAACCAACCAATTGGCCAACGGTGGAATTTCAAGTCAAGCATCGCGGCATTGTGCTTCTCGTAGTAGGCCATGTACCTCAGGACGTGTCAAAGGTTGATCCCACTGTCTGAAAGTTGAAAAACGTCACCTTGTCTCAGTCTTATGTTCAGTCTCTTGAAAAGGGAAACCCAGTGTGGATCTGCTCAGGATCTCTGGAACAAGCCGTGCCGCCTCAAACGTGTAGCAGCGTAGCAAAACTACCCAGGCACTTGGGGTCCAGGCGCTTTGAAGTTTGCACAACTCTTCAAAGCGCCTTCCATTTCAACTCTTCAAAGCGCCTTGATGCTTTGCTGACCAGAACTGGAAGAAGCTTGAACGAATCCGATAGGGAATGGTCTGTAGCCGCTTTGGACCCCCAAAGAACTAAACTAAATGCGTGTTTCCCAGAGCCTGGTGGGCCTGATTTCCAACTGTGCAACCGCTATTGCTTACGATTACTATACGGAGGTCATTTCTCCTGGTCTCGTCAGTCTGGTGCTTACAAAAACATGTCATCTTCTTGATGTTGTTAAACCTTTTGTGTTTTCCTGATCGCTTCAATTTCGATCTAATATATGAGAATTAGAGAACAACTGTACTCAGTACTACTCAATACGGCCTCTATATACTGTGTTCTCAGAACTTCTGTGTGCTCACATCGTCTCTGAGGCCCATGTTGCAGCGGCAGCAAGGTGTCATTGATTGCCTCCTCCCGGCCAAGTGGCAACTGTTTCGCCCAAACCGCCTCAGGATCTCCTCACGCTCACGGTGACCGGGCAAGCTTCAGCAGTGGCGGTGGCAATGCTTGGCGGCAGTGGCGCCTTTGTTCGTCCACTTCTCGAAATGAACCTCTGGTCACCTCTGGCGCTCAGTCCACAGTCGTACAGATCGAGAGTCACAGTATTCGCATTCTTGCTGCTAATTGCTATTGGTGCGGGGCGTAAAAGGACTTTTGATATGTACACAGAACCATTGGGGTACATCAGTTTGCATGCGGAACAAGCTCATCCAGGTTCTAACCATCTAATCTCTAAGGACTGCTAGAAGCACCAGTGCCATAGGAGCTGAACGCCTAGGCCTAAGGTGACCCTGCCAGCTAATGCTGGCGATTGCGCCGAACAAGACAAGTCCCGAGGCATTTATTACAAAGCACTCAAGGTCCAAATTCACATGTCGGCAAACCAGCTGGATGTTACGGAATGTCACGGACATCTAAAAATCTATTGTCCATTGAACTGAATCAATGGCACACTTTTGTGCACCTCTGCCAACTACCTTGACAGGTTGTTGGTGAGCTCAAGACTTGAAAATTATGCTGGTACCACCCTCTGAAAGACAGTCCTGGAGCAACAGCCTGGTAGCTTGACCGGCTCAGGGCTTGAGGGGCTCTTTCCATGAAAGGTACAGAGGCCATTGCTATTATGATGGATCATGCCAGCATGCCTTGTCGGAGCATGCCTCTTGGTAACAAAGGACTCTTTCTTTCTCGAGCACCGGAGGTTGAAGCCTGTCGCTAGTTGCTGGAATTATACAACAACAAAGGACAACATACAAAAACTACTCCACACTCAGCAAAGTCTCTACTCGCTGCTGTACCTGCATAAGGTCCTGATTGTAGCACTCCCCTAGCCTGCGGTGAAGGTCCCAAAAGCTTTCTCCAAGCTCAGGATCCATGATCACTCGAATCGGCCAGCGAGAACCTTTTGAACACCGTGAAACACTTCTGAGCCTTAAGCCGCCGCAGCTCACAAAACCTCTCCAACTTGCAAACCCCTTCAACACAAATTAATCATATAATCATATATGACAATCTCGTAACACCTCAGTCTTTCAAGACCCACTGAAGGGCGCGATGGCATCATGGTTTCACCAATTCTGCATACGTCTTCACAAGTGTCTATCTTTTATGAACCAAAGAAGTGGACACAGCGCGATGTCCTTCTCCCCATGTCCGATCTACGGGGGGTCCTGGGATGACAAACTCCAGGTCATTACACTCCTTGGCCGGTCACGAGCAGATCCGGCACGTGACCTGGTCCTTGCAGCCTTCCACAGGTATGTCTAGTGGTATCCAATGGGGCTCAAACCATCTCGAACTCCAGCCTTGAACGTTGAAGTCGAAATTGAAGTCGAAAAAGAATATCGATAGATTGCAGAAGTGCTTGCTGATCTAGTTTCATCTAGTTTCCATTTGTCTTCTAGTTGCACAATTGCACAACAGCGGGGGCTGTGCTGCAGACCTTCAATAAGCCATCCTGCAGGCAATACCCTTGTTGTCCTCTCGAATCAACATGTTGCCTCTACTATGAATAACTCCTCCTGCACATCTGCGACTGGCATTGGAATTGACCCATATACCTTACCGGAGGACCTTACCAATCCTTACCCAGCCACATCCTGCTTTGGGTTTTGGAGAATGATGCCTGCGTCTCATTCAGCATTCAGCCAAGCAAAGCAGTAGCACAGCCCGTAATTACTCTCGTGTCTTTCCGCAGCAACCAAGCGGTGCATGACCGAGTTAATCTCTCTTCTAGTCTATATATATGACTCAAAGATCTGCCAATGTCCAAAGCATGCTCCTTGGGATTCTGGGAATTTTTGTTCATAGCGGATCCCCATCCATCAATGACCAAGTACTCAACAAATCTGGCCTGCGTTTGAAGGTGAACAGCAATTGGGGTCCGATGACCAACCGCCAACATGCCAGTTGAACTGGTCATCTTTGATATCCACTGTAATAGCTCTTGCCATGTCCCCCATTCTGTTCACGCATGTTCTTCCTGGCTAAGACACTTGCCCAAATTTGTCTTGCAATCCATGGCGCTGCTGGCAGATTCGAGACATTGGATCCCAGCAACTTCAAAAGCCTCGACGGCGCGAACGAGTAAGGACGGAAGGAGTTCGATCAATCGTGGCAGCAAGTTTGCTCCTTCTGTGAAGAGACCCTGAAAAATTCTCTTGAGGCAAATGATGTCGGTGTGATAGTTGGATTTCTAGAGACTGAGACTGGCTGCCGGTTTCGAAACAGGATCCTGACTTGTAGTGTCAGGCAGCAGAACATATATGGATCAAACCAGTGGTCAATCCCCATGTATAGGTTCAAGTTAATTGAGGAACAAAACAACAAATTCCATATAAAAAGCACAGTACCCACGAGTATCAGGCCACAAGCAAAGTAGTTTCCACATATCCCGCCAGTGTTCTTTCCTGTAACCATTTTTCATGAAACAATGGTCCTCAAGCAGGCAGTCTTGCATGCCATCCGGACTTCATCAAATCAACTACTGTATTTCATGAGGCGTCCTTCGACCAGATGTCTGGGTTACCCCTACAGGTTGGTATGAAAACTTATCGTTTCACCAGTGGAGTACATACAGTAAATTTCAATCTGAAACTCCTGGACATAAGCTCAACATGTTCTTTGTCAACATGTAGGGTTCCGAACCCGACTGTCCATGGCGGTGACACCTGTGCTTGTCAACATACTCACCTCACTCAAGTAAGTAGGTCATTCCACCTTGGTCGGTGGCCTGACGCCAGCAACATAGCTTGATGGGCTGATGTTTTATAATACGTTATAATTGTATGGTATAGAATAATATATATGTATAACAATGTGCATCAATGTGCACCTGTTTAAAACCTTTTTCAATCAAAAAAGACGGACCACAAGGATGCATCTTCGGAACAGCAACTCATGCTGTGCTGGAGAGCCCCCAACATGGAGATGTGCACGATCACCCCAAAATGGGATTGCTTGGACAGTGCTGGGTTGTGGGTTTCCTCTATGAAAATGACAAGAATAAGATAGGTGGACGTGTACGCCCACTGGCTCTAACATTCACTGTGTGATTGCTGCAAACGTCAGGGGACGCATCAGCGTTCACCTAACTGGAGGTGAGCATTCTACTCCACTGGTGGAGGTGGGAAGTTCCCAAACGGGTGGACCGGACTCGCCTACAGTACTTTAAAGACCCCTTTTCGCTTGCTGAAAAACGACTGGGACCACTGCAAATTTTCCGACAGTGGGTGTTGGTGTTGATCCTCTCAAGGAGCATGGCCGTAGCGATACTGATCCAAAGACCCCACCAACATACTGTTGGCAACCAAGTATCCCTTCTGCTTCGCTGGGCACCAAGCACCGCGCTTCAGGACCTTGCTTCTGTGGCCCCTGTTGAGGTCTGGGTCGCCGTAGCCAAGCACACGGGGTGGCCATGGGGGGCCCCCAACTGCCGAGCCCGTTGGCTGAAATTACTAATTGCTTTGATGTCCCGAGGGAAACACGCGGATCCTCGGAGGCTTTGGAACTCTGGAGGTTGCATTCTTGGATTTTCAGAGTCTGAGGCCCACCGGAACTGATGGGTAAATCTTGGCAAAATCACTTGAGATCTCTTGTTGCAGCATAGTATGGATGTATCATGATATAAAGAATCATTGAAGTGACATGTGCAGTAAGTATGCAGATTCCTCACCGCAGCAAGCACTTCCTTCTTACTTCTCTGAGACAATGCTTCAACAACACCTTGCAATGTTTTAAAATTTTTTAAACATGTTCAAACTCAGTACAAAATGTTTTTGGCGGTTCGTCTTTCACATTCGCCCAGGGATCCCCTGAACATGTTGTATTTCAGACTCCCACCACATGACCTCGACGTGCCCGACGTGCCCTGCCTGGCATCCAGCTGAAGCACTGCGTCCATCCTGCCTCCTCGAGTCTTTCGATGCGATTGGCCTCCAGTCGAGTGCAAAAGTCCTCCTCGTCGATGCCTCTGTGGAAACAGGTTCAAAAAAGAAACGCCCATGCTGAAGCACAACTTTTTCCTCACCCTGGTGGAATCCAGGAAGACAGTACACATCAATACTCATGCCACCGAGAAACGAAGTCGGCAACTTTGAGTGGAAGATCATCTACATATTCAAAACGGATTTAAACAAAGGCCAACACAGCACAGATGGTGCAAAAACCGAGATGCGGCTCGGAACATGATACGATGGCTACCAAACGTCACAAGTTAACAAAGCAAAATGCCAAGTTCCGATTCGATACGTCAAGATGCCACGTTCACCTGTGTGCTCCCCCAGCCAAGGTGCATGTTTTCTGATCCAACCCGAAGTGGCGGAAGGCCTTGCCAATTCAGCTGGTCAACGGAGACTCTTTGCGCATACAGGGATCAGTGAAGTCCTTGCTTTGTCACATCTTTTCTCAAGCCCACCCTGTAATTGCAAGTTTGAAGAAACCTAGAAAGTCCTAGCTTTTGTCTTGCCCACATGTAAACACTACTTCAAGTTTTTCACCACTTGCTGTCATCCATTTGCATCTATTTTCCCAATTACCCATGGCCCTTCAGTGAAACGCACTTGGCTGTGTTCAAATATTTTTAAGTATTGAACAAAGTAATGAACATATAGCTTAAACATATACGCTTAAACAATCTTAAACATGTGTTGTCCAGCATGAACACACAACGGCAACGCATTATTCATATGTATGTAAAATTTACTGTAACATGCATCAAACACCATATTACAACTTCCCACAGTTAGATTCTGCAAAGATGTTTTAGTGTTTTTTCCCGTTTGAGTTACGACTTCAACAAATGCACTGTACCCCATTACATCCTGAGGGCCTTCAAAAACGCCAGTAGACTGGAGACTGTGGGTGAGAAAAACATGATAAACACCCTTTTGGGGGAGTGCCCCTACTAACTTGGGATCGTATTTTTGCACTAAGGCATGATATGATAGTTGTATGCGTTTTGATCGAGCCATGGAGGGCAAGAACCCATACAAGCACTACGCCAAAAAATACATGCACTATCATGCACTTATGCAAGTGAATCAACACATCAAAGAGACGTGCATGGCTGGTGACAAAATGACCCCCTGCGGAAGACAAAACAGGAAGACAAAATCCAATAATTCACAAATGTGGAACAATATGAGAGAATGCAGCAACTGCGCACTGCGCGTCTTTCTACATATTCTATCGCCGATTTAGACCCTCTCTCCCACCCTCTGCATCGCTCTGCTGGCTTCGTTCCAGAACAAAAAAGAGAAAACACGCCTCGGCCAAAACCGTCGATGGGCAGTCGGGCTGAAAGGCACGGAAGAGGTTCGCCAGGTCGGGAAGGCCCAGGAACTGGGCACTGCGGGCACCGCAGCCCACGCCAGGTCCAAAACCCGGGTGTGGATGCAGGCAGGTGGTGGGTGGATGTAAGTGGTGTCTCTCTGGGTTCAAGGAGAAGTGGGCATTGTTTTTCTTTTCTTGTTTTCACTGAGGCGGGTGGAGAAGCAAAGCGGCGTGGCAATACTGGCAGGGGAGATTGAATTGTTTCTTGAGCACCCACACCAAGGTGTCGTCATTCTGAAGTACAAAGGAACACCAGTCAGGTGGAGTATTCCCAAACATGAGCAACTGCTTATGCATATGGCATATGGGTTGTTCAAATCTTTGCCTTTTTGTCCTCTCCTAAAGGGTCATCAAAGCTGGTGGCGGCAAAAGTTTGTCCCTAAGCCCCTAAGAACCGGAAATTGCTCTGCTGGGATGCTTCATCGTCCGAGATTGCAAAAAGTAGACTCCTCCAAGGTTGCAATGTCACTCACTACAGGAAGTACCAGCTTGGTCTACCGAGTCTACCAGTTTCCCAGTTCCAACCTCTAAGAAAACACTGAGCGCTTGATGTTGCTCATACTCAGTCTACCACAAGGCCCCACCGAATCACCGGTGTCGCTCCAGGCGGCTCCGTCGCGGTCGGCGTCCAAGCGCTGGAAGAGTCGAGAAGCATCCGTGCCGGTGCTGGTCCTCGAAGGCCGCGAGCGTATCGGGCGCCCCCTGGAAGGCCGCATATCGGGTGGTCGTCCCAAGGGTGTTTTTTCAAGGATTCCCAAGGATGAGGATGATGAGGAGGTGTTCTTTGCATCATTATTCATTTCATTTTTTGTTGTTTTCCCTTAAGTACGATTGTACTTCTGGCAAGTTGGAGGAGTTCCCGAGCTTCGGTTCTGTTATTAATGCACCACCATGATCATCAATGATCGAGTGCAAGCATATAAAGAATGATATATAAATAGATAATGCAAGGACATGGCCAACTATATTTTTGACCTCTGAGGGGGAACTTAACCTCTGAGGTCTCCGTGAGTTGTCCCTCTTACCTCCATGCGAACCAGTCAAAGGACTCATAATGGACCAAACCCAGGGCGACCACAACACCGGATCAATCAGCAAAGCAATGGGATGTCCATTTTCTATCCTTTTCTCGGACTCGGACTCAGCTGAGAAAACGATAACAAGGGGAGGACCAGGTTCCTCTGACTTCTTGAGCTGTTCGGGTCGCCGGGTGGTCTTGATCAAAGGGGCATTCATGGTGGGCCACGTAGGAGAGATAGACACTTGTTTCATGACCAAAGCGAAGATTTGTTTGGCAAGTCGACTTTTGAAGGACATGACGGAAGTGTAACATGAGAATCCACGCAAGGTGTTGGTTTTGTTGTTCTTTCATTCTTTCATGTTTATTTTTACTTTTTTTTTTAAACAAAATAATCATGAGAAGAACAATTGCAAAACAAAAACAATGTGTAGACAACATTGCTAATGCTGTTGCTGCGACAGACTTGCTATCTTCATGGATCAGCCTAATTCAGATCCTTGCGACGCCAACCATGCAGTGAGGACTTGCTGCTTCGCATGTACTTCTCCATTGATGTGGGACGACTGGGAAAACAAAACGAACACTCTCCGGGCGATGCCACTAGCGGCAGTCCACATTACAAACACTTCGATGAACGTGAAAGAACCGGCGTCAAAACTTTGGGGTCTTTTTGGGCTTCGCCATCTTTTCGCACCCAGGCGATTGCCGGAACTGCCGCTGGAAACAAACTTGATTTGCCAACACACAGGTACCAACACTGCTATCACCACCATCACCACTACCTCACATAAGGACCCAGGTTGAAAAACAGCAGAATGCGTTCAACATCGTTGACACATTGAATGTGCTTTACAATGCTGTGGGCAGCCTATCAGAAACCCATCATGCTTATACAATCCGCCGACCCCACACCGTGGGGTGAGGCGTGACTGTCGATGTTAGCCTTAGCCTTAAGCCTTAGCCTTAGTAGCCTTAGCCTTAGACCTTAGACCTAGTCCTTAGCCTTAGACCTAGACCTAGACCTTACCTCCCCTACCCCTCCGGACCCTTGTTGCAGTGACGAAATCCCGCCCGGAACCCGCCCGGAAAGCGACCTGAAGCGACCCGGGAATTGTCCAAGACTCTGCCATCCCCAATTGATTTACATCTTGGGGCACCCTCTCGACCCGCGCGGGAAAATAAGCACGGTCCAAAATGGTCCTGGGCTCGAATCCCGGGCTGGTCGCGGCATGGTCCCGGCCAATGCCCTTGTTTGTTTCGTAGATTTTGTCACGTTTTCTGTTGGTTTATGAGATTTTCAAAGGCTTTTCTGGCATTTTCCTAGGAATGCTCTCGGCTTTGTCTAGATTTTGTTATGTTTTCGGCTGGAGGCTTTTCCAAGAATTTTCTAGCGCTTCCTCTTGTTTTTAGGTTCCCAGATTTCACCCAAAAATTGGTAACCTTTTGCTAACCTATGGAACTTTCAAAGGCTTTTCTAGCATTTTCCTAGGAATGCTCTAGGCTTTGTCTAAATTTTGTTATGTTTTCGGCTGAATGCTTTTCCAAGAATTCGCTTCCCAGATTTACCCCAAAAATTAGTAACCTTCTGGTCCCGGCCAATGCCCTTGTTTTTTTCGTAGATTTTGTCACGTTTTCTGTTGGTGTATGAGATTTTCAAAGGCCTTTTTGGCATTTTCCTAGGAATGCTCTAGGCTTTGTCTAGATTTTGTTATGTTTTCGGCTGGAGGCTTTTCCAAGAATTTTCTAGCGCTTCCTCTTGTTTTTAGCTTCCCAGATTTCGCCCAAAAATTGGTAACCTTTTGCTAACCTATGGAACTTTCAAAGGCTTTTCTAGCCTTTTCCTAGGAATGCTCGATCGATCCAGCCCAAGTCCGGGCGCCGATACTTGTGGCACTTGAATGTACCCTAGACCGATGGTAAATCTGGGAGGTACCCTGGGAGGTACTCAAAAAGTCGACTTTTTGGGTACCTGCTTTGGTGGTGATGGGTTGGGTCACCGGGAGAAACCGATCGATTCAGCATAAGTCCGGGCGCCAATACTTGTGGCACTTGAATGTATCCTAGACCATCGGCAGCGCCCTGCGGCCCCACAGGCCGCAGAACCCAACGCGTCACGGGGCTTGTGCAAGAGCTGACGTCCGATTAGAACCCACCTTTGCAGTTTGGCCTGCGAGGGGTCCTCGGTGATAGAGTGTGCCTGGACAGCAGGATTTCGACGTCCGATGGTAAATCTGGGAGGTACTCAAAAAGTCGACTTTTTGGGTATCTGCTCTGGTGATGCTGGGTTGGGTCATCGCGAGAAACGGATCGAT